TGAGGAAGGAAAGTGTAGCCATGAAAGCATTTAAGCCACTCTTGGTGTAGTATTGAAAAGGGTCTGGACATGTCCTAAAGGCTAGAGATAAATATCTACAGCCAGAGCAATGAAAAGCCATGAAAAAGTCTTGTGTGCTTCCCTTCAAGCACCTCAGCTGATATCCACTTACTTACTGCTGATTCCCACCAGATTCTGCTGTTTCCCACGCTGCACATCCCTGTGTAAATTGCAGCTGCATGTTACCGCACCTTGGGAGCTGACAGCTAGGTTAGACAGCGAGTCTCCTGGATGAATCATTATTTAAAATCAAAGGGCATTTTGCTCCATCCGCACTAGCTGTCAGGGAGAAGAGAGAGATGGGCTCCAGGTGCTGCCCTGTGTGCACAAGGGTGCTCAGCCAGGCAGGGAGGCTGGCGGGGGGATGCTGTCCCTTTGAAGGTCACTGATGGTGGCTTCGAAGGGTAAGTACCACACTCTGCAACACATCCTAGGTAATGTCAGGGCTCAGTGAGCCGGGGATGGCTTGTTGTTTTTTATTTGGCAAAGAGAAAGCTGGGAAATGCAGACCTGAGTGGGTGGATGGAGGGAGACAGCTGAGACGCAGCTGGAGCATCACAGAGCCAGCCATGTTCAGGGCTGCTTGTCCCACGGCACGGGGCCAGTTTCTGGCCTGGGGAGAGGGACTGCCTGTCCAGGGAGCTGAGATGGGTTGCGCTGATTGGAGCTTGGAGTCTCTGCTGAGCCCCACCAGTCATGAAAAGACAGGTATTTTACAGATATTGAAAACCTTCCATTCAAAACTGCATTTGGATTCAGGTCACATAGCCAGCAGCATGTCAGGAAAACCTAGGAATCCTCCCGAGAGCAGAGCTTAACCTGTAAAACAACCTTGGACTGGAGAAGTATTAACTGTGCCTACATTAAATTAAGAGGAAGCGGCATCTGGGAGAATTTCAAAGTCCATTTCAGCCAGCAAAAATCATCAACAACAGAATGTGAAGATTTGTGCTGAATCTCTTGATTTATTTGAATCCACTGGAGTGTAGAGACTGATCTGATCTGTTTTAATCAAATTGCAGCATGAGCTCACCGGACTTTGCTTCTGCCCCAGCAAGAGAAAGTAGGGTCTGTCCTGATACCTGTTTCCCAAACAGCGAGTGCCTCCTTTCTGCACTGATGCTCAACAGGAGGGGAAGATGGGGGTACCCTCCTCCATTTCAGACTTCAAATCTACAGGATTTTGTCTCTCAGCCACAGGAGCTAATTATCCAGCAGAATACTCAGACTGGTGCAACCATGCCGTGCTTTGACTAATTTTAATATCGCTTCATCTTAATATGCGGAAGTAATTTGGTCTGCTGAGCTGCTGCCATAAATAGAAACCCAATAGGTTACGTTGTCAGCAGCCTGAACCAGGGCTGGGCTGTTACTGGCTGCTCTCTGCCACGCACCTGTAGTTTGGGGTTCAGTGACCTTGGATAACTAAGTAGTTAAAGCAAATCTGGAGTTTGTAAGTCTAATGACTTAGCAGCATCCTCGCATCCCTTGGTACCCAGGAGCTGTAGATATGAAGAAAGGAAGGTGGAGATGGAGATATTTCTTGTTCAGGTCCTGCCTTGCTGCGTGGAGGGAGCAATCGCTGCAGAGATGGTCGCTTGCCTGGGTGTGATGTCCAGCTCTGTGTCAGCCCCACAGCCGGGACTGTGGGATGGCGGGGAGATGCCGTCTGTGCCTCCACTGCACTCATTATAGCCTCCAGACATGAGCTGTCTCCATCCCACCTGCATGGACTTACACTGGGTTTTGTACTCACTGAAGCACAGAGAATTCTTCTTCTGCGAATTAGTTTAAAATATTTTTTTTTCTCTTCAGTGTCTGGAAGCAGAGAAATGGTGCAAGGAAGATGAGCTGATTCCTGAGCTTATACCTGCCCCAAAGCCAGGCCTTTTATTTTAATGTTGCTGCTTTTGTCTCGGCAGTCCCTGCCCAGCAAACTTCCAGCATATTTGCACCATCCGCAGGGGGGATTGCTGTGCCTTGACCTCAGTGGCACTGCTGACCTCAGAGGAGATGCTCAGAGCACAGAGTTTGTCACCAGAGATTGAGATGGAGACACGTCTGCTGTTGGACGCGGGGCTTTCCTCTCTCCCCATCCTCTTGCTTGGCCCCGCAATAATAAGGCCATTTTAATTCTTACCACCATGGGTGCTCCGTGAAACATCACTAGGGTGTTCGCTGTCAGAGTTGCACCAGGGTGGGAAGTCCCTTGACTGCAGCTCCAGGAGAATATCGACATGACAAGCGCTCAGCGCCAGCCTGGGTCCCTGGAGCACTTGTAAAAGATGAGGGAGGCTCCAGCCACTGGGGCATGCCACTCTGTGTGGGATGAGCTGTAGGGATGGAGGTGGAAAACTGTTCCTTCCAGAGATCTGAGCTCAGTTTGTGCACTGATTTCTGCTTTCTCTGCTCTGTATTTACCAGTGAAACGGGAGGTGGAAGCCTTATATTCCGTTAAAATGAGGAATGGGTATTACAAGGTGAGCAGCCCTCCAGAAACCCCTTTAAGAAGAAATTTTTTCTGCACTCCTACCTCAGAATTAATTTTCATTGTTTCCTCAGTGTGGTAAAGCAGAAGCTTCTGGCCAGAAGAGGTGAGATTAACGTACACCTGGAGGCAGGGGTACTGAGAGATTTTCCAGCAGTCTGGACCGCAGCTGAATGAGCAGTTGAACGTTTCTGTGATGGATGCATTGAGAAGCGAGCACTGAGCCTCTTCTGTCCAGACACTAAGTAGGAAAAAAAAGAGATGTTAGAGCATGGTGATAATGGGCATTATTGCACTAAACACAGCTCAGGGTTTCTGTCAGGTATACACCAGGTGGCATCTTGCAGGAGATGGTAAATGTCGCAGGATTTTGAGAAAAGTCTGGGCTTTCTCACAGCGCACATTGCAGAGAGCATATTACTCTACAGTACCCAAAGTTTGTGCTTTGGGCACAGAAATACCCAATTCATTTACATCTCTGTATGAAAGAAAAAGGAACTGGAACTTTTGGTCTGGAGAAGGTATATTTGAAACCAAAGGGAATTGCAGAAATATTAGAGAATAAAACAGAGCAGCCTGCCCTGAGGAGAGCACAGCACACACAGTGCTGCATGATGGGGCACCCTGGACCAGGACTTGATTGTTAAGCACCAAGTCCAGTCCAATTTAAGGTGAAGGCTGGGAGGACAACTTTAAATTACCAGGGTTACAGGTACTCATATGCATGAAAACGCGGTATCGCCCAAGCAGTACTGCAGGGAGCTCTACCTGCAAAAAGGCTTTTTCTAGTGGCAGCTCACTCAGTTTTGTAAGCTAAGTCAGCGGTTGTAATCATTCTGAGGATTTCAGCTTATCTCGAATTCACCAGAGGCTGAAACTGGAACAACGGAGCCTGGGTGTGCATTGGTAATATTCACTCGGGTGTCTCGCATGTATTTAAAAATCTGCGGCTGTATTTTCCTCAGGGATGAGAGCAGGAGGAAGGGCACACTGAGGGCTCTATGGAAAGCCCTTCTGGGCTGGGGAAAGGTTTCATCCCGGGGTTGCCCTCTCGCCCTGCTCAGTCCCTCAGCTCACACCCAGGGCTGCTGTCCTGCCTCTCGCCAGGAACGGGCTGAGGGTCTGCTTGCCCCTCACCAGACCTACCAAAGGCTTTACATGGTAAGTGATATCAAAGATTTCTGACTAATTCCCCTGGTATTTTACTTTGGTGGTAATTCTACTTGTATATTCCATTTTACATTTTTATTGAATTATGCTATGATTTCTGTGGGGAAATCAAGTGAAAGAGAATTTTTTCCCCTCCCAGGCAGTATTTCGTTAGAGGGGTATTGCTGTCTATAAAGAACAACCCCTAAGGAGATCTGGCTGTGTGAAGAGAAGTGACAGCAAAGACTCCTGGGCTGTCTTCTCCTCACTTTCACCCCTCTGACTGCTCTTCTATTCATGCATAGGGGTAATAAAGTAACACCTACTTAAAACAGACTTGTGAAGATGGAATATTTGATACTTGGTAGGTGCTTCGATACCTTCCGGCAATTTTTCACATAGTTTGTAATATAAATCATCTCTTTCCATGTGAGCAATTTTGACCTTAGCAGCCTCTGCAATTGACCCTATACTGCTGAAAGGTCTGGGAAAGCAATTTGGAAAAGCAAATGCTCCTGTATACTTAATAGGTCTTGATCTCTGTTTTCAAAATCTAAACTTTGCCTGGATTTAAAGAAGGACAAATACCTTTATCTCACAAATAAGATGCTGCAAATGAGTACAGCTCATCCTCAGGCATCACCACTTTTTCTTTATCATTGCAGGGTCAAGAAGGAATATCTTCCCGCAGGTGCACCAATATAAGTGAGGATGTTCATACCAGGTAACTGTAGGCACTTACTGTACATACCTGAAGAAGAAGCCTGTGGTGGGTAAGTCAAAACATGCCAGGTATGGGCTGCTGTCTCAGCTTGGTTTGGGGCATGACCGATTAATGTTTTGATCCCATTATGCATTTTTTATTCCCCTAACTCCACTGATCAGGGCAGAAAAAACATTGCTGACAGTCTTATTACAGTCTGGGCTGGATTTTAAATAGGGCTGGTGCTTGAAGACTGATTTCAAATGCTGCTAATGAATCAGAGGCCAAGCTTTCTGCTCTGTGGCAGAGCAGGAAGCCAGACAAGGCCTGAGAAAAATTAAGAGCAGTGCGGTAATGATGAAAGATGATCTTTCACTTTCAGCAAATTACTGTATTTCAGCAGTATTTCACTCGTTAAAATGAAAGTAATAACCTACATAGAAAACTACACGCTACAAAGCAGCTTGATTTCATTCCCAAATTAATTCTCCATTCTTCATTTGGAAGAACGTTATTTCTCGAGGCTGTTAAATATTTTTGCTGTTTTCCTCTGAGTTTGGGCTTTGCAGCAACAGCCCCTGAGAGGCTTATGGGGTTCAGCAGCCAGCCAACCAGCTGATATGGTTATTATACTGCTGTTAAACTCTGGCAAGTCTAAAGCCTATGGATCAAGATATCCTCAAACAGGGATCTAATTCTTCACTCGCTTATCCTGGGATTACTCAGCTTGCTTTCACTGTAGTTATGCCTAATTTACGCTGGGGTAAGGACGTGCACAATCAGGTCCACGTTGACCAGAGGAAATAATATAAAACTTTAATGAACTAAGTCAAAAGTGTTAGCTATATGGAAGTCAATTAGAGTGAAGTGTGTGAGATTAGGGTAACCATCATGAAATTACCTTTGCATGTATGACCGCAGCAGGGTGATTCCCAGGAGAAAGTACATCATGATCGAGCACACCATCATGGCCAGCCCGAGGAGTATGGCCCGGTCTTCTCCGGCTTTTAGGGCTGTGACTGTTTTCCTTTTGTCCAGTAGATCATGATCCCTGATTTTTTGGTAAATATTTCTGAGGTTGAAAACAATACATTCTTATGTGAAGTTCATATTTAATCAATGAAGCCTCTACAGGGTGGGTAGTTCCACCTCCATACCCATCTCATGGGAGAGAAAGGTTTAAGGGTCCTCAGGTGTCCTTTTTCATCGGATTCACTCTGACCTGGTGGAAACTTACTCAACTCCAAAACAAATTACAGCCATTTCTGAAAAGGTAAAACCCTCTTACAGCAAATACAAAGGTTAGACATTTGTGCCAGCTCAGTAAATCCTTCTTTGGTATAGCTTCATTGGCTAATTGAATTATACCATAGGTGAATTTGACCTGTCAGTGAAATCTTAGGCCACAAGAAGATGTTTAGATATGAGGTGTCTTTTCTTCAGTTGAATATGGTAACAGGTCTTATATTACTGTACGTAGAAAATAAGCTAAAGAAAGTCATCAATAAAATTATCTGAAAGGACCATATTCTTTTTTGATTCCCTACAGGCTAGTGGTTTGGGTAATTTTCTGCCTTGAGTGTGACTCAAAGCTCATGAAACACTATGGGGATTTTGCAATTGATTTCTGTGGGTTTTTTTGATTGGGAGCTTATTTACTTTATTTATAAAATATCTTTCTGGAAGTCCAGTTACTCATTACAGTGAAAACCCTCACAGAAAATTATCCACCAGAGCTATTTGTTCTGGGATTAAAAAAAAAAAAAAAGATACAACAAACCATTCCCCCTTCAGCAGAGAGTCCTTTGCATTTTCTAACAGTAAGTCCTTCTTTCATCTCCAACCCTTTGATGATTCAATGGGTCATGAGGACACAATGGTGAAGAAGGAAATATTTGAGTACATTTCAAACACACTCAAACTTTGTGGGTTTAAAATGTACTTACAGACCTGAGGCTGGTCAAAATCTCCTGTGTTTTCTGTTATGGTTCTTTTGAATCGTCCAGGCAGCACCCGAAGCATGTGAACCGCACACCTCTGAGCCCTGGCACCACCATAACATGGACATAGCAGTACACGTGGAAGAAGTTCCTCTTCTACTGTCTGCAAAATGGCAGGTGAGCAATGTCAACATCACTTTGGGCTCTAGCAAACCCACCACTCATTTAAGCTGAAACCAGCAAGTTTCCCTCAACCTTGGAATAAAGCCAGACCACGCGTATAACTTAACGTTCACTAATAGGGACAAAGAAATAGAGTTAAGACAGATGTGAAACCATACATAAACACAGTAGGAACAAGAGAAGAGGTTTAATCATAAACTCCCTGAAACTGGAATTGAATTTGCAATTCAATGATGAGTGATGAGTCATAGTCAGGACAAGGACATATGGTGTGGGGTTTTACAGCAAAAATCTAGCTTGGATGGTACCGCAGTCAATAGTCTCCTGTACCTAAGACCCCTTGAGGTTTCTTCATCCAACTGTAATTTATATCTTTAGATGTTTCTCTTCAAACCCATGCCTTAAAGCTTGTCAATGTTTTCCTAGTTGGAAATGAAACGGTCATTCAGCCTGTCAAAATCTTCTCTGGTGCTGGGGAGAAAAAATGTGTTGTGAACTGGCAGATGCAATTGCCTTCAAAGAAGTAATGTAGAATAATAACTTAATGTTACTTTTCTATTATTATTTATCAAATTGTATTTAACTCTGAGAGCTGCTATTAGGATTTGCATTGCTCCCAAATGGAAGCAGGCAGGAAGGCAAAGATTGTCAAGCGGTTCCAGCACATTAACTGATCACACAGCATAACTTATGTCAGTGCGTAGACATAAAACAGATACAGTGCAATCACTCACTGCTGTCATCAGAGCAACTAGGACATAAAAGGGATACAAATGGACAATTTAAAAACAAATAGCTAATTGAGAATGGTCACAAATAATTCCCATGTGGCCTTGAGCCAAGAAACACGTAATTAGAGGTAAAAAAAGAGTGAGGAGAAGAGTATGTTGGAGAAATGAACTATCTGGCAGATGACTGGCAAAGGGGACAGAGCGTGGTGACCGCCTGCCAGGTGGATCTCCCATGCTCGCCTGCCATGGTGAATAAAGATAAACACAGCTTTGCCCCGCAGTCGTTCAGTTGCTCTTCTGCAAATATTTGTTATTCAAAGCTCAAACCAGCAGAGAAGTGGTAGCCTGGTCCACCTCGCTGAAGGCAGTTTTTTTATCCTGAGTCCCTGCCAGCAGTCAATCTGGTAACCCACGCTGAGTTGCGCGGTGTTGTAGCATGTGTCAGCACTACAAGACAGGCTGAGTAACCCTCCCCGTTGTTGTTCCTCCTCTTCCTTCCTGCCCGTACCTGAATCAGGGAGGTGCCAATTTTCTCTGTATGATACTGGGAGCATATGCTATTACCAGACTTCGTATTTTTGCCCTGAAGAGCCCCATTTTTGGAGGATGTGTTTACACTGTGCAGAATGTTTTACCACTAACAGAGCAGCTGGAACAGCAGCGGTGGCAGGCATGTATGTGTGTCCTCCTCTGTGGCAGGGGTTTTGCGTATGTGTGAACTTTTGCCATAGCCCAGGGACCTCTTTTTGCTTGGTGAGCTGCAAGAGGGCTGTGCTTAGCCAGCTGATTTTAGATGCTAGGGCTGCACAGCCACAATTAGCTGACTGCTGCGGTGTGCTTAAGTACCCATCACTGCATCCCAGTCATCCAGGTGACTCTATCTAACACTTGTGATTAACTGTGATAACTCCCTAAATATGACATCGAAAGGGGCTGTTGGTTTTTAAAGAAGTCCCAGCTGTCAGAACGTGGGGTTTCTCTGCCCTGCAGAAAGAAGTTTAATAGAAAGCAAGCCTGCAAGGACAAAAGGTCTCTGCTCCCTTGATGGTTTCCAAAGTGAAACTCTCTCCTGCTAAATCACCACGTTGCTGTTGCCATACTGCTCAAAGGATACAAGCTGGCTGCTCTGCCTGGCCTCAGCTGCCAGTGAGGAGATCTCAGCCATGACCATGCCTGCTGGGGACCGAGCAGAGATTTCCCTCTCTGTATCTCTCAGCACAGCAGCAGTGCAGGGATTCCTCTGCAATGTGGTCAGCAGCTTCTCACATGATCTCCAGAGCAAAGCTTAGGGAGGACCTGTGTGATGAAATTAGGCAGCCCGGGTGATGTTAGCCTGAGCACGAGACAGCCAAGGAGAGTTACGTTGCCAGTCTGAGCCCACAAGTCTTAATGAAGTTCTGTCTTCTGTATAGCTGACGATATTTGCTGCAGCCAAGACCTTTATTTGCTGTCATGAGGTACATGACCTTTTAGAACTCGTTTATGTGAAGGATGAGACACACCAACTTGTCCTGTGCTCTGCTGGCACAGGACTACTCTGCAGCTCTGGGGATGTTATTAATTTGTTGGCATGTATTAGGAATGGTCCTGTACATAAAGAGCTGGCAACCAGGTACTGCCTCATAAAGCAGGATAGGCTAAGTAATATGTCTTCTGAACCAGTGCAACAGTTCTTATTTCGCTCCAAAATAGATGGTTCTAGGAGTTCTGCAAAGAGCATCAAGTTTCCTCACTGGAAATCTGGAATAACCAGGCACCTGTAATTACTTATCTTTTTTTTTTTTAAAATAGACACAAATTACCTACCCTCAAAATCCTTCCCATGCAAATGGACCATGGTGTGGAGCTGAGGGAGATGTTGCCTTCTCTGGCACTGCACAGTCATGAGGCTTGTCAAATGGGGATACCTGCCTGTCTGAATTATTCAGAGTGACTTTGAATTCACATTCTCTGATATCACAGTTGTTACGCAGATGTCACTCAAATTACTTCATTTTGAGGTGTTTACTGATATCAATGCAAGATCCTCCTGTATCTTGCTTGCAGAGACTTTTCTGCTCAGAAGGCAATTTATTTACATTTTTTTTTATAGAGTCTATTTAGCTGCATTAGTTTTTGTTATTAGAGCCATGGAAAAAGGAAATGTCTCTGGAGCTCTCACAGAAGTTTTAGTGATGGTTGTAGAAGGATTCCTATCAATACAAACAGATTCCGTTTACTCAGTTCTTTCCCTCCTCCCCACCAAACTGAACCAAAAGAGCTCTTTCTTTTTCCAAGCCTACAATGCTGCAGAAAGTCTAACTGACAGCTGAGAAAGAGTGACGGCTTAACTAGGTTTCTGAAGCATAAAAAGGGGCAGTTGGGGAATGGTAGATGTCTAAACCAGCAATGAAATGCATACATTGTGGGCATGATCCTGCAAAAACGAATGCCTGAGAGAAAACTTTACCCCAAGAGAAGATGATTCCTCCACAGCAAGAGAATCCATTGCTGCACGGGTTGTTATCACAGTGCAATCCCTCAAAAGTCTGTGGTTGTTACATGTGTTAGGTGACAAGTTTGCTGCTCCACATGACAGTCTTCCTATCTGAAGTTTAAAGAACACAAATTCCTAGAAAAATGTCATTTAAGGGGAGCAATTTCTCTAAAATGTGCTGCCTGTTTGATATAGTGATGCTGCTGACCTTAAACGTGTTAAAATCACTGCCAGACGCTGGCAGATGAGTCTCTCCCAGCAGCAACACTTTCTCTGTGTTCACACCTCTCTCCTACCGTCCTGAGACTGCGGTCAGCACTCTCTTATTTCTATTTTCTCTTCCCCCCTTTCCTTCCTGTATTTTATTAATTACTCACAGGGTACAAACAGCTCCTTCTGTGTGGCTCCACAAAGCCATCTGGGAAACAAGCTCACCTGGAGGCTTGAAAAGGCACCTGAGATTACTGCAGCTGGTGTGTAAGTACAGAGGTACTTCTCCCTACGTCCCTATTTCTGCCGGCAGGCAGAGGTGAGCTCTGCCCAGGGTTTAAGCTGACCAGACACTGATGAGCCCAGGTTAGCACAGTGCTCAGCCTAAGTTGGTAAGTCCCCCTGAAAAGCATGGTGTGAGTTGAAGGCCATGCTAATCAGGAGCACATGGCTTTCAGCCAGCCCAAAGCGTGGGCAGATATCTCCTCCGGGTGTCTAACCTTGGACCATCCTGTCCATGACAGTGTTTTAATGCAGAAGAACATTAGCCTGGGGAAAATTCAATTAAAGAGGAGACTTGTAGAAGTACACGAGGCAGTTAGATAACCAGCTCCAACCGAAAGTCCATGGAAACCTGCTGCCAAGCTGTCCTTTGGGACTTCAAAATATCTGTTTGGGATCAGATTATCAAGAGCTGAACACCTATGCAGCCTTTGCAGAGAAGTTCAGCAAATGGGCCAATTCTCCAAAGAAACTTGGTCTCCTGAGGGCAGCTCTGCTCCCTGAACTCACAAGCACATTTTCTCAAGCAGATGCAAAAGTAACATCTCATTAGAATAACTGAAGAGTATGTTTTGTTAATTGGCGCTGTAGATACATTGACCTCTGTTTTTGTTTCACATGGGTCTGATTTTTTTGCGATTACTTTTAATAGAGACTGCAAGGGGAACTGAAGGAGACGACACAAGGGTGGGAAGGGGGAAAGGAAAGAAAAGAAAGAGAAATGTGTCCGGTTGTGACAAGCTGTCCAGCAAATCTCACTAGAAAGGAGAGAGATTTTGGAAGGATAAGTCTGAGCATGATTACTGACAATTGTTCTTTCATCAGTGATATTTAACATCTTTCATTCCCAATAGAGTGCTGCTTTTGTCTGTGGACTTAAAACCTCTCCTTCCCCTTCCTTCTGCGTAATTCCTTGCTCCCCTGGGAGACCTAGTAAATCCTTTGTTCCTCTGTCTCCTTCAGCCTACTCCCTCCAGCAACACCCCTTAAGTGAGCTGATGGGCTAACAGCTCACTTTCAAGCCACTTGTCATCCCCCAGTTATTGTGCAATGTCTTGCGCACACGCTTGTCCTCACACAAACATGCATATAAACATCAAACATCTCTGACAGCTAGATGCATCATCCAGATGTGTAAAAGGCTTGCAGGGCAACGATCTGGCTGGGGAAGAGGAGGCACCATGTGTACGTGGTCTGGAGGGGCCAATGGCTGGAAGCAGGATGCCTGCAAAAGGCGTGAAGGCTTCACAGAGGTTGGAGCTGTGCTGAAAACCTGAGGCTGAGGATTAATGGGCGTTTAAATGCACAATGTGTGTATGCTGACCTTGGAGATGGTCACGGTGTGTAGCTGATGTCCTGGGAGCAAGGAAGACTTTGGACCTGGCTCTGGCACTGTCCCTCCACTCTGTTTTGACTTGGCACGTTAGCCCTGGCGCTCATCGGCTGGTCCTTGTCAGTGGAGCAGCAGCCAACGCGGTTGAGAGGCAAGAGGACACCCTTTGCATCTCTCCTACTTCTCTAGTGCCGCTGTCGAAAAGAAGCTACAGGCCACGCTCCTAAAGATTCAACACTGTAAGAGACAATCAGCATAGATGCCGTTTACCTTTTCTCATCATGTCTGTAAGATGTAGAGCTCCGGCCACTGGTCCAAATAAACATTTTAGAGGGTTGCCCAGTGTTGGCTTTGCTCGCTGCAGTGGGACGATGGAAGGACCTGGGGGAAGAGGGATAATTTTTGTCACTGCCCATCCAACGTGGCAGACCACCTTATATCCAGCGTGTCAAATCCCGTGTGGCCATGCCCAGTGTGCTCTGAAGATGGACCATTTGTTAACTCAAGGTGAGATGTAAAATAATAGGGATGATAGATCAGATGTGGCAATGAAGGTTAAACCCCATCAGCCCCACTGGTAAAATGTGATCCTGGCTAATCAGGCTTATCTCTGCTCCCCATTGCAAAGGGTTTGCACCGTGGACAAGAAATCATTGGTAGTTTAAGAAAAGGTAATGGCTGCATCCAATGTTGTTATGGCTGTATTTTTGGGGACCAAGTGGCTATTGTTTAAGCACATACACCTTCATTACAGTTTTTTGGTTGTACTGCAGCACTCGGCAAAGTGAGGCTCTCAAAGAAGGTGTCTGAATGAGGCATAAGTGTGAGATATAAATGTAGCCTTTTGTGGAAATGTAACTGATGTGACAAACGTGTCTTTTCCCAGAGAGAATTTACTGTTCCAAGGCTGTTTGGCCAGATCAGCTAGATTTCTGCCCAGGGGCTTCTTTGTTTCACAACGGGATATGAGACCTGCTGCCTTCTCTCAGGTTCTCAGGGTCTTCTGAACAGGGTAAAGTCTGAGCAGTTTCATTTTAAGAACTGAATTTGAGCCCTGTACTTCAATTAGATCTCATAGAATCAGAAATGCAGAGTTACAAGGATCACAAAAAGTGTTGTTGCTCTCTTGCCCTGATTCAAGACACATTCACCATACCTATGTAATACCTAGTGGATTCTGATTACCCTACATCACCCAAATGTGAACAACCAGCTTTCCAGACGGCAGCTTCATTTCTGTTTCTGGAAGCATAGGCTGTATTGGACCTGTTAGTGGGGCTACAGCTCCCGTTGCAGCTCCTCCTAATCTGCTCCTGGTTTTAGTGAGGTTCAGTTAAAATCTCAATCTCTGGGAATTAGGCCCTTCCTAGAGAGGGATGTATTTTGCATTATTTCATGGCACAGCAGTTTGTGTGTTTACTACATTCATAGAAAGGCTTAAGGAAAAAAAATTAGAAATATTCCAGATACCAAATACTTCAGTACCAGTTTCTTATACACTGGGGGCCATTCTTTAGCTTACTGAAAAATAAACTTGACTGTTGATGCTGTCAGCAGAGAAGGCACATGAATTCCTCAGTGCTCCTCATGTGAAAAAGTCTGTGATGTCACTATCTACATAATCATGCAAAGTGCTAATTTCAATATTTGCAGAGTGGTGAGCCTGGGAGAATACTTAAATCCTGCAGAGATGGCTACAAGGGAAGACTGACATGGACAGGAGCCAAAATCCATCCATGTGCAGACAGGCAGATGGGTGCCAAGGGACTGGCCTCTGCATCGGGACAGTCCAGAGCCCCACCACAGGGTCCATGATGCAGACAGAGGCCAAACTCACACCCCAGCTGGGCAACTGGCTGGGCAAACTGGCCAAAGGCGTTTCCCCATCACCTCCTCCCTGCCTGGGTAGTGCTGCCATGCTCAGAGATGCTGGCTCCAGGCTGGGAATTGCAGGCAGGGACCTTGCTTGAGGTAGGAGATGGAAATACTTGATGAAGCTTTTTGTGTTGCATTCATACACAGCAAATGAAACAAGAAGCAAATGGTCCAAAAGAAGGTAGGCAGAAGGAGGAGTCTCCCCCAGCCCCTTCTCTGACTCCGTGGTCCTCACTGCAGCTCTGGGAGCCAAGAAAAATTATTTTCTTTTCTTACAGCTACTGTAGTTAAGTATTAGGGAATAAACAGTAAGACAAAGTACTTCCTCACTGAAATAACTATAGTTTAAAAGGTGAAATAGCATCTACCAGAATCTACTCAGTAGAGCCAGCAAAAAAAGAAGTGATTTTATAGTGATATTGCCTGGAAATTTGGGTTGCAGGACCTTGGGTTGGACCCTCACTCTGATATGTAAATTTGTACCCGCGCTACCTCAGGCAGCATGACATCGACCACCGAGCCTGCACCAAAGGAGCTGGTGTTTCTGAATCGTGCAGCTCGGGAGGGCTCAGAGCAACTGTCCAAAGGCCTGGAGGTCACTTTGGATACTGGGCTGAGACCTGTCCCAGGCTGAGTCCCTTAATGCTGAAAAATAAAATTATATTTTTGCCACTGCACTCTTTAGGATGACACACGTGAGCTGCATGACAGGAAAGCATGTCTGGCTCTGCTGTCACAGCCTGAGTGGTCCCAGAGCCATCAGGAGATGGTGGTGAATGCTGTTACAGAGGCTGTTCTTAATTAAGCAAAACTTGGGCATGCATTAGAGGAGATCAGCAGCTTCTGCTGCCTGTCAGAGTCTACAGGGACACCTGGGCAGGATTGCCTGGGCAGGGAGGCAAATTTGCAAGCTCTAGAGCAAATTCAGGGGGAAGAGCTGGGCAACAGGGGTCTATCCCACCAAGGGGATACCAGAGGAGAAAAAGGGCTGACTCTCTTCCCTGACTTCCAAAGTCAGAGGATTTCAGGCTCCCTTATCGTGCCAGTGCCCTGGAGCAGTCCATATGTGATAACATTAATGCTGCCTGCTTCATTAGTTGGGCAATCTAAGCTAACCGTCGCTATTTAATACAAAATTGCACACCTAATTTTGTGTAAAATTGTAACCCTGATGATGTCACTGAAGCCACTCCAGCGGTGAGATGTAAGCAACTAAAGTCCATAGTTGCTTTGGGCCAGAATTAGCTGTAAGGTAAGAGCCTTCTGTGGAATAGTAACAACACAAAGTCCCCAAGACAATTCTCTGAAGGCTTTTGCAGGACTTATAACCTGAAGTGGTTACAACCTACGTGACCATGTCCTGCCACATCAGGTCAGTTAGCAAACTCCTATGCCATTCTCTTCCCCTGAGTTAATCCCAAGGCAGGACTGTGAACCCTTTTCCTCTTCCCTCTCTTATCTCTCCTTTCTGAGAAAACAGGAAACAGTCCTTCCTCAGGACTACTTTTTTTTTTTTTTTCCTATTGCTTCTCTGAGCCAGCTACTTGTATCGTATTTTCATCATGCAACAAGTAATCAGCCTGTGAAACTCACTACTGCAGTAAAAGTGGATTGTACTATTGCTTGAATACATGAGCACCTGACATCATGACAATACCTGTTAAAAACAGTTTAGAAGAGGTGCTTCGAGCTACTTTTTGACAACCAGGAGTCTGTAGGGGATATTAATATAGGGAAGATTACCAGCAAACGGCTGTACTTGATGTGACTTTTCTAGAATAAGGATCGAGTCTGGGCTTTCTGCTCAACTTCGCCTGAACGTTGCTGTCTCCTTTATTATTGTGGCATCAACACGGTTGTCTGTTGGTGCAGTTGCCACAGAGACAAGCAAGCTTTTTTTTTTTTCACAAAACATGCCTGGTTCTTTCCTTTTGGGTATATTCTGAATAAGAGAGAAATATTCTGAATGAGAGAGAAACGCAGAGTAAAAATTGTACAAAACCCTGCAAAAACATGTACTGCTGTGCCCAGAGTGTGTCACTGCTCTGCATTGGCCAGGGAACAGCTCTAAGGACCCGTGATGCTGACACAGTAGTTCTGCTCAGGGCTGACCCACTCCTGCCGTCTTTCCCTGTTCTTATCCTCTTCTTCTGGTGAATTTTATAGAACTTGGTAGAAAACTTGATGATGTTTCTACCTTTTCAGCCATTACAAGATGAAGACTCGAGGTAGTTCTTAAAGGATTAGAACTACTCTCTCCCTTCCTAAGGAGTGTCAACATGTCCACCCAACAGCAACCACTTGAGAGAGGACTCCAGTGTGAAGAAAATATACTGAATCCCCATTTGATTCAAATTGCTCAAAAAACCACATAATTCTCAGGGTGAATCTCAAAATCCCTTAGCTGGTACCTTGGCAACTGTGTCACACACCCTTTGTCCTCACTTTCACATTGGGCTGACTATTTTCCTTCCTCAGGCTCCGGTTTATGTCCCAGTTGGTATGAAACGCCCCCTACCTGTAGGTCACCACATCTGGGAATGGCCAGAGAAGGATACTGCAGATCACGTTTTTAAATGGAAAGCTGGGGTTTATATGTGTGTTTATTTGTAATTGCCTCTGTCGATGTGAATCACAGGGTTTCTGAGACCTTGCAGAATCATTTATGGCACGAAACTAATGAGCTTTGCTCCTCTTACGGCATTTAATTTCCTGGACAATGTGGCCACAGTAAAAAGAAGAGCACTTGCATTAATGTTGCCTCATAAAAGACACCGAGTCATCAAAAGCCAACAAAAGCTAAACATTCATCTAAAGATATAATCACTGACCTCTTAAGCTTTGTCTGAATAAACCCATGTCCTACATTGTCCACACTTCCAAGTGCTTTGGATGTTTCATCACAATATTTCACAGCCAGAGGATTAATTTGAACCCTGAGGCAGTTTCCTGCGAGCCCTGAAGTTTTTCTGCTAGTCCATGTAAATCTCTCCCTGTGCCACAACATAATGGCGAGCGCCAGTTTTTGGACAGGCAGGGAGGCTGCTGTTGAGTGATGCGAGATGTTTGGACACTCTCATGGCTGGAGAGACATTTTTGAGGTTTTCCCATCCACCGTCAGCTTTGAGAAAAGAAAGAGTCTGAAACCAGACATCAAAGACAACCTGCAATGGTTCACTTTGAGGTGAATTTACTGAATATTGTACTTTACGCTCCAGTAGGTCTTACCCATGCCTGTGTCTGATGATAGTATGTTTTGCTATGGCTTTGCTGAGCCAGAAAACAGGGAGAAGTATTGTGTGATAAAGGATGAGAGAATAAATAAAATGCCCTGCTGTATCTCTGATGTAAAGTGTAGCCTGACTGCCAGGTAGTCTGGCATTCAGGTGCCTTAGTGCATGAAGAGTTTCTCAGACAGAATGCTGGAGCTAACTGCAGTACTAAGATGCTTCTGTCTGATGCAGGAGATAATCCAGGGCAGTTTTCTAGTTCTAGTATTGCA